CTCTCTCTCTCTCTCTCTCTCTCTCTCTCTCTCTCTCCCTCCCTCCCTCCCTCCCTCCCTCCCTCTCTCTCTCTCAAAAAATCTCAAAAAATGGAATTTTATAATTCTTGAGCCGTATTCTGGGAATGCCTGAGTTTTTTTCCCTTGGCTTTCTAATATATCTCTTCTTGTTTTCGCCGCATCTGATTGTCCTGTGCATGAAAAGTCACCCGTCAGTTATGCCTATCTTGTGTCCTCGATACGTATCTCAACTCTATTGTGTATCTTGAGCGACGGGCAGGCAGATGAAGTGTGCAGATTGCAAAGAGAGTAGGAGTGTCAAACTAAAGGCCTGCGGGCCAGATATGGTGCTTTATCTGAGGGAATGTCTCTTGCCGGTCACATCTACCTGACCCATTACAGAGAGGAGGGAGGGAATACTGTGGGTCCCATCCCTGAGGGAGAAACACCTAGTGGGACCCAGAAGAAGAAGGGCCTTCTCTGTTGCAGAGTTACAAAGTTTCTCAACTCCACTCCCCCTTCTTCCTCCCCCCAAAAAAAACCAATAGAAAAAGAAAATATGTATATATATGTGTGTATATTTAAAAAAAGAAAAAATTACTAAAGGAAGCCTCTATTAAAAATATAAACAGTCAAAAAGGAAAGGTAATTATAGAAAGAAAAAAAAAACCAGTCTGGTTACAATTACTAATCACAATAGAAGTTCGCTAGAAAAAAAAAAAGTAAAAAGCCAAGCCTAAAAAATCGCCACTAAGTCCATCTTATCAAATTCTGTCAAAAATCTTACAGATTCCTTCTTCTTCTAGGGTGTCCTTATCCCAAATAAAAAATAAATAAATCTCACCAGCCGATACACTTTCTCTTTCTTCTCTTCCTTCCGGAGCTGTCCCTGCTTCAGCAGCTTAATGGCTGCCTCTCCGCCGATGGTAAAGGGGCTTCTTCTGGATCCACCAGGGACTTGCGGTGTCCCTGTGATCAACAGAACGCGCCCCTTACTATCACCGTCTCTACAGGACGGTTTAGGTCCGTTGGGACCGACCAGGGGCGAAGATATCAGCTGTAACTTCGGAGCCCCGAAATTACAGCTGTAACGCGGCGACGTGGCTCCACCTTCTCTGTGGCAGTTTCCTTTCTCTGGAACATCATCTCCCCCTTACCTGCACTGCGCCTCAAAGCTGATTTTTCAGCTGGTTTGAGGCCTTTTTCAGCCTCCCAGAGGCTTGGGAAAAGCCTCTGCAAGGCTTTTCAGGACAAATAATAGGCCCGTTTCATCACTTGTGGTATTACAGGAAGTAACGAAACGGGCCTATTTTTCTCAAGCCCCTTTCCTCAAGCCCCTGAGAGGCTGAAAAAGGCCTCAAACCAGCTGAAAAATCAGCTGTGAGGCGCATGCATGCGCAGTGAGGTAAATTTGCCTGTTTGACTTGTGGCACGCATGCCATAGGTTCGCCATCACGGGTATAGAGGTAGTCATCGACTTAAATGTTTATTTAGTGACTGCTCAAAGTTACAAGGGCCTGGAATAAGGGGCTTGTGAACCTTTTCTCACACACTTGCAATCTTGGTAACCTTCCCCCCCTCCCTCTCCCCCCCCCGGCTCGCATGATCAAATTTCAGATTGCTTGGCAACCGGTTCAGACTTATGACTGTGGTTGTGTTCCCATGGGGGGGTTACGTGATTCCCCCTTTTGACAATCCAAATCAACGGGGAAGCCAAGCCAGACTCGCTTTGACAACCGTGTTAACTTAACTCATCAGCTGCCGTGGTTCGCTCGACAGCGGCGGCAAGAAAAGTCGTAAAACTGAGGCCAAACTCGCTTAACCACAGGAATGTGGGGCTCGGTTGTGGTCGTAAGTCAAGGACCACCTGGACCAAAATATAACAGTAAGATTTCTGTTTGTTGGGGTGGGGGGGCAAAGGTCAGTAGCTAGAGAATGATTAAAACATGTTGACATTTCCAAAACCCAGCAACAATTTGTAAGGAGGAGCAAAGTTACTGATTTATCTTTACTGTTTAAAGTCCTTGATGGATCCAGCAAAAGTTGCAGCCTTTAGAAAAAAACCAGCAACTCTTTTTTTTTTTTTTTAAGCAAACCTTTTGCTTTTAAAATCCTGCGCAAAGGTTAGGCCCGTTTACCCAAGAACTGGAGGCTCCAATTTTAACAAGACTTTCAAAGTAGGGACATGGGTGCCTCTGTTCTGGCCCAGTGGTTAGACGGCAGTACTGCAGCGCTACTTCTGCTGCTTGCCGGCTGCCTGAGATTTGGCAGTTTGAATCTCACTAGGTTCCAGGTTGATTCATCCCTCTGTCCTTCCAAGGTGGGTAAAATGAGGACCCAGATTGTTGGGGGCAATTATGCTGACTCTATAAACTGCTTAGAGAGGGCTGTGAAGTCCTGTAAAGCAATATATAAGTCTTAAGTGTGATTGCTTGCAAAGGAAGGAAAAGGAAGGAGTGGGGAGGGAGGAAGGGAGGGAAGCGGTGCAGTTGTTACAATGCAGTATTGCAGGATAATTCTGCCCACGGCAAGGAGTTCAATCCTGACTGGCTCAAGGTTGACTCAGCCTTCCATCCTTCCAAGATGGGTAAAATGAGGACCCAGATTGTTGGGGGCAATAGGCTGATTCTGTAAACCACTTAAGAGAGGGCTATAAAAGCACTGTAAAGCGGTATATAAGTCTAAGGGCTATTGCTATTGTTCTAAGCCTGGGCTGTTCTCCGCAGAGGGACCTTACGGCATCTTTGCTGGAAGAGACGCTTCCCGTGGCCTCGCGACTTTCTGCCTCGATAAAGAAGCTCTGAAAGACGAATACGATGATCTCTCCGACCTGGATGCTACGCAGAAAGAAACGCTGAGTGATTGGGAACAGCAGTTTACGTGTAAGTATTTCAAATTTTGTCTAGGTGGAATTGGGGATTTGAAAATGGTATGTGGAAATGGCCTTGGGAGAGGGAATGGTCAGATAAGAGACGGAATGGCCCACAGCTGCATAATGGGCGCAGACTCAAGAGGGGAATCTCCCTTGAAATAATAGAAAATACTGGTAGCTCAGGTTTTAGATTTTGACAGAGGTTTGCTGTCCAAGCTTGTTTCAATTTAGTTTCTGGACGTTTCTTTATCAGACTAGGTAACATCATTACCAGAATTGTCTTCTATTCTCCTTAGTTTATAAATACCTTGTGTGGTCAGTTGGTCATTTGTAGAATGTAGAATAGCAGAGTTGGAAGGGACCTTGTAGGTCATCTAATCCAGGGGTCTCCAACCTTTTGGACCTCAGGGACCACCAAACTCATAATTTTAAATCCCACGGTCCACTAATACGTATTTCGACTGACGATGGCTTGCTGACATTGGTGGGAAAATCGCTCCCCATATTCCAGAGCTGTAGTAGTCACAGGACTGGCTCTTTGGTCATCCTGGAGCAGCTGCTCCTCCACCCGGGTGCACCGGCCTGCCATGGACTGGAGGAGCTGCTCCAGGATGACCAAAAGGTCAGTCCTGTGACTACTGCAGCTCTGGAATATGGGGACCGACTTTCCCACCAATGTCAGCAAGCCACCCCGGGGCGGATTTCCTTCCCCTGCCTTTGGTCTTACCTTCTAGTTCCAGCTTGCGTAGCTCTACTCAAGGTTTGTGCTCGGCTGAAAGGTGGGGGCCAGCAGGTGGGCAGGCCATGTAGGCGGTGCGGCCTTGTGTTCCTACGCAGCCTGGATTAATTGCTTTGGTGGGCGGGAACATTTCTCTGCGGACCATCAAAATTTTCTCACGGACCACCAGTGGTCCCCGACCCACCAGTTGGCGACCACTGTTCTAGTCCAACCCCCGGCCTAGGCAGAAAACCCCTACACCACTTCAGACAAATGGTTATCCATTCTCTTCTTAAAAACTTCCAGGGTTGAAGCATGTACAACTTCTGGAGACAAGTTGTTCCACTGATAGTTGGTTGTTCATTTGGAGCTGTATCAGCTGTTCAGAATTTAAATATAGCTCCAAGTGAACAAACAATCAACTCCCCTAACAACCCAAATTTGGAGCATAATTGTCAAGGACTAACTGTATTCTTTGCAGGCCATCTAACGTCTTGTGCAATCCAAACAAAACCAGTTGCTTTTGGCTTTACTGTGTTCCCTGGGGAGGGTAGAATTTGATACGAAGTTTGTCAATACCGATTGAAATAATAATTCTTATTTCGTGGCAATTGTCTTTATTCAGTTAAATATCACTACGTCGGCAAGCTGTTGAAGGATGGAGAAGAACCGACGGTCTATTCCGATGAAGAAGAAGAAACGAAAGATGTGAAAGACCGCAAGAACGATTAGTGAATTGCACCAAGGAGCCTCCTGACGCTAGCTGGTTTCTTTGCTTTTAATTTTTAAAGGACATTTTTATCATATTCCTCCCCTTTCTATTTTTTCCCTTTTCCTACATCTGCCGTTTTTAGAAATATTAGTACTTGCAGTGACATTGGTCGCAACACTGCACTTTTTAAATCAACGTTCCTAAGTAACTCAGTGCTAACTTTTTCCAATCCAAGACGAGGGCTTTGGAGGGCAGTAGAGCAATGGCCAAAACTGGTTGGTGGTACGTAAAGAACCTCACCAGCTAAGCAATGGCCGTTAGGATCTCCCTTTCGTTTAATGGCGCTTTGCAGGATGTCACTCGGAGGACCTGTTGAACGGACATTGCAACGTATTTGAAGGTTGACCCTGGACCAGAAAATTATCTCCTCGTAGGAGATAACTTGCTTTGTCCTTCAACCCCGTTAGGCTTAGTGGGTGTTCAGAAAGGGTTCCTCTACCTTCCCATTTCCTGTTTCTTTATCATTCCTTTTACACGAACTTGTCTTCCGCCTGATTGTCTATCTGTGTGCATCCTTTGAATGAACTTCATCTGCTGCGAAGGCCTCCACATGTGCATTTTCTGAGGGGGTTTATATCATTTCAGTTCCTTAGAAGTGCAAAATGTAGTTGGTGGTTTTATTTTCTTTTTTTGTCATCGCTAATGTAGCATTGGAAGCGGTTGAAAAGTGGTTTTATATAGATACTTACATCCAACGGACGGGGCCCTAGCTTTTGAAGCAGTATAACTTCCTCTTTTTTTAATGCAATCCTTTTATTATAAAACAGTCTAAAGATAAGAATTAGTATGAAATGTGACCTCGTTGTGGGCAGCAGCATCACGGGCGCAAAGTGGCAGGAATGAGGTGAGGGGCTGTTCTTGGGAAGGCTCCTAAGACGTCCGGCTCCATTTTTCCTTCAGGTACTTTTGGGTCAGCCAGGTTCTGATCAGGGACCTCCTTGAGAGCATGGCCTTGGTTGTGTTCTTTTAACCTCCGGTGTCAGCTGAATTTGGTGGAGGGCCTGCTGCACAGCGTAATTCTCTAAAAAGAAGAGGCTCCGTGCTTACTGCAAATACCAAAGTCGCGGCCCGAAATCACTTCCTTTTGAGGAGGAGCATTTTCATCTTTCAACTAGGCTAATTGACCACGGTGCATATGTAACAAGTGAGTTGTTGGTTTAGCTGCAACGCGACCATCAGGGCTCCCTTACAATTGGTGGTTAATTGTAAGCTTTTAAGATCTTGGCAGGATCTTACTTGCAGGTGCCAAGTAGTCAAACATTCCTTGATTTCAGATAAATAAACCCAAGTTTCACTATAGGATGATGGATCCACTGCCCAAGTATTCTCGGGTACATTTTTGGGTGCAGTTGAGATTCAGTTCGTTTCGTGTGGTCGTTCGCAGCGTGAAATCGGCCGGATTTAAGAAAGTTAGGAAAGGACTATGGAACCCAGGAAAACTGTTTCAAAGGAGTTATTCCCGAGTTGGTTTCTTTTCCCACCCTTTTTATATACTCACCGTTTTGTGGGACTCAAAACAGTAAGGAGTTCTTCTCCTTTGCTTCTAAAAAAAAACACTACTTTTCACAACAAGCAATAAATGTTGTAACTTTGGACTTCTACCTTTGTTAAATGCAAAGTACAGAATTTAGATTTGTTGCCTATTCCCATTTCCCCAAATGTACAACCTTCTTCATTGCTTGTTGCCCTAAAGACAATTAACTGGCTGAAATTTTGTGACCTACCTCTGGGCTTTGTAGGGTAATTAACAAAAAGCTAATTTTTTAAAAAAACTGCTTCTTTCTAAAGTCACCATTCTTGCAGAATTGATGCTGAACAATGTTTCAAATTCAAAGCCGGGATTGGTTGTACTTGCTTTATTTTTAAAGGCGAGGAAATAAAATTTTTCCTACAAATGAGGTTTTCTTTTGACTTTTAATATATATGACGTGCGGAATTTAGCATTCCAAAATCACCTGGGAAAGAAAAGTGTTTAGGATGGAACCTCTTCTGCAGGGCTTTGAACTGCTGGTGATGTAATGCTAAATAGGAACCATTTCAAATTTTGGGAAGACTCATCACACACAGCACATTGCTCAGTGCCAAATGCAGCCTTAAAAGGCTCTTTAGGTATTTCTTTTGCTTTTAGATGACTAAATCTTTCTTAGCAGGCTCTGAATTGAGTTGCCAAAGGTACAAACAGACGGATTTCTGTGTTTAATGCAATAAAATTAGCTTGTTTTTGCTCCTTAAATCTCATTTTAGATGGCTGCAATTAGGGAAATAAAACAAGGGGTTCAAAAAGGCTAAAAGTTCCGTTTTCTTGCAGGACTTTCCCATGTTAGAAACCACATTTATTAACCTCTTTCTAAACAAGGATTAAAAAAAGAGAAGTGCTCTATATCCCAGCGTCTCCTCCTTTTACAACGTGCTCAGGAAATCTGATAAAATCTCGAGATGCCATTGTTTTTTAGCTACCTCTGGCTGAGCATTAGATAAGAGGGTTGGGGATTTTGACACATTTATATAGGTGACACCCAAAAAATCTCCATTTCAAGATACTGGCAGCAAGGAGGAGAGATTGTGTGGGGCAAGAAAGGCCGTAGGGAAACCACTGGCCAATTTTGCAAACAAAGAGGTGGGGAAACTTGGTGACGAAATCTAGCACTGATGACGTTACAGCGCTGAGTAAGGAAACGTCTGCAAGAAAACAACAAAGCTCAGAGAGCGCCAAGGACCCCACAATCCTCCTCTTCCTCCTCTCCACAAACCCCATTCCCTGTTAGCACTGATGACATTACCTAGTTGGATAATGAAGCATCTGCAAGAAAACCACCAAGCTCAGAAAGCACCAAGGACTCCTCATTTCAACCCTGAGCTACAAATATTCTCCTTTATTGCAACCAGCGCGCACTTAATACCCTAGTGGTGGGATTCCATTTTTTTTTTACTACCGGTTCGGTGCGCGTGGCTTGGTGGACGTGGCCGGGGAAGGATACTATATCATCTCCAGTCAGAAGTGGCATTTGCCGGTTCTCTGAACTACTCAAAATTTCCGCTATTGGTTCTCCAGAACTGGACAGAACCTGTTGAATACCACCTCTGTCATGCTCGTGCGCCTAATGCGCAAGTGCAGCTTTCCACAGATCAGCTGATGCACGCAGCCAATCAGATGAGAGGATAAAGAAAAGCACAGGAGCAGGTGGGAGGGCCAATCCTGCACTTTTTTCTCCACTCAGCTGATCGTTGGAGGCTTTTTTTTTTCTTCCGATCAGCTGATCGTAGCAATTTTTGCTACTGGTTCAGATGAACCGGTCCAAATCGGTAGCATACCACAATGCAGGGAAACCTTTATTTATCCCTTGGGCTTCTATGCTTCAGTTTTCAATATTCCGAATGGCTTACGCACACGTACACATTCTTTAGCGCAGTTACAAGTCAGCTCTGATGTGATGTCCATGAGACAGCAAAGCGTTCCAAGCTTCTTCCCAGCCCCCTTTAGATCATAAAAGCGGTATTTGTGAAGGGCTGTGTGGGTCAAGTCTAATGAAATGATGGAGTAGGTGCCATGTGGATCATCGTTGCTTATACACTCCATGAAAAAGTGGGGTGTTCTTCAACATCCCCTAAGTGTGTGGATCACCCCAACTTCCCTTCGACTTGTACACAGTTGGACCTACTTCTACAGACCAGGGGTCTTCAAACTTGACAGCTTTGAGACTTGTGCACTTCAACTCCCAGAATTCCTCCTCCAGTCATGTTCGCTTAGGAACTCTGGGAGTTTGAAGTCCACAAGTCTTAAACTTGCTAAGTTTGAAGACCCTTGATATAAACCTGGACTCCAGCTACTGGCCGTTTTCTCCTAGGCTCAGAGACATTCTTAAAAATCAAGTTGCTACAATATTGGCCAGGGGAAATCTCTTAACCATGGCGATTTTAAGACCTATGGACTTCAACTCCCAGAATTCCCCAGCCAGCAGAGATGAAGTTTCACCAACGCATAAAGTTCTTTCCCAATCTAGTAGTCCCTTCAAGATGGGTAGACCTCAACTCCCAGAATCCTCCACAATGATCACGTTGGCTGGAGAATTCTGGGAACTGAAGTCTCCATGTAGGGGTGGGGGAGTTGGCTAGATTGAAGAAAACTTGAACTATCAGAAGATTTTCTGGAGTTTTAACTTTTGGGATGAGAGAAAGGAACCACTTAGGTATTGGCGGGGTGTGTGTGGAAATCCACATTTTATTCCACCGTAGGTAGCTTGGACTGCCTGTCCTTTTGATTATGAGTAAGTCCTTTCCCAAAAGCTGGAGAATACAGGTGTGTTGGGAAGCTGCATTCTTCCCGCGTCTGTCAGGCTTATAAAATAGGTTCGGTGGTTTTTCCAGTGAAGGAACCAAGCACTTTTTAAAAGTGAGCGCAAATGTTTTATTCAAAAGGAGTATGCACATTTGCAAATCAGTTCCAAACAAAGACGAAAGAGAGAAAGACTCGAAATGGAGGAGGGGGGAAAAAACCCGGAAATCGCGTCTGCAACGAAAACAAATATCACCGTAGTCCCTGGAAGGATGTTCCTATAAAACAAATTTTATTCACAGCTAACTTTCCATTGGATCCAGAGGGCTAAGAAAACAATGCAAAGTACAAAAAGGTCTTCATAGAGAAAAATACTTTTCACTCACCCACTCAGGAAACGCATCTCTTTTCCCTCAACCAGAGCGAAGAAGAAAAGATTAGCTTTTAGAGTTTTCAAGTTGGGACGCTCAAAAGCCGAAAGAAACCACCACCGAGGACCAGCGGGACACGAAAAAAAAAAAAAAACAGCCTTAAGCACAGAAAAATCCCTGCGTACTTTTGGGTTCGCCACTACTTTTTATCGGAGCCAAGTTCAACAAACGTATGCTAGCTAAGTCATATCAAGTAAAAAGTACCATGACATGGAATAAATAAATCACATTTAAAGTGAAGCGGAAACTGGAACCAAAATGGAAATTCTTCTCTTAGGGAATTGTGTCCAGGGTGAGACCACTTCGTAGACACCCTCAGAACTGGCCAATCCACCAAATTGGTTGACGGCAATTTAAGGAGGGGGAGGTCCCTAAAGTTGGTGTTTTTCACCAGTTCTGGGTTTGTTTCGCGCAACTTAACACCACCCTGGGGTTTTTTGTCTTGCTAATGGGATTCCCAAACATCAACAAAGAAGGTTGTTGTATAACTCCGTTTTTACTGTTCAAACCAACTTTTGTTCAACGGATGCCAAGGTTTCCGTGAAAAACCTATATTGAGTCTTGGGGGCTCTTCCTTACGATCAAACCCACCCCAAACCCCACCCTGGTTTTTGCAGTCACTAAACCAGCACCACACTGACAAAACCAAAGGGAAGCCCCACACTGGAGGAAGAAGCCTCAGGAGGACTTCCCTGGAGCTGAAATGAGGTCAGCTCAACCTAGCTCAGGTGCACAAAAAACCCCCTACTTTCTGGGCACAGTATGTTAAATCGGGACCAAAGTGGAGGCAATGAATATTTGCAAGATGAGCTCCTGCTGTGCTTTTTTTTTTTAAACCAGACAGGGAGCCAAAGGGGATTAAATGGACAGAAGCTGCAAGCTGGAAATACTAGGTCTGTGATGGTGAACCTATGGCCCATGTGCCAGAGGTGGCACGCAGAGCTCTCTAAGTGGACACACTTGTTGTCACCAGCTGCTCTTTTGGTTTTTGGCATGCACAGGCACACCAGCTAGCTGGTCTCCAAAAACAGGCCGTTTTCAGGCTGTTTTTCAAGCACGAAAATGGCCAAAAAATGGCCAAAAAACAGACCAGTTTTCAAGCTATCTTCAGGCCAAAAATGGCTTGAAAGACAGTCTGAAAATGGCCAAAAATGGCCCCCAAAACAAAGCCATTTTTCAGGCCATCTTGAGGGCAAAAACAGCCCAGAAAATGCCCTTTAAATGGCCAAAAATGGCCTGAAAATGGCCCAAAACAGCCTTAAATGGCCAAAAACGCCCCCAAAATCCATGCCATTTTTGGGCCATTTGCAGCAAAAAAATGGTCCAAAAATGGCCTCCCAAATGGCCAAAAAACAGGCATGCACACACCAGCCAGCTGGTCTTTGGTTTTCCGGCACACACACATGGACCGGCATATATGTGCATTCTGGTTTGGGCACTTGGTGCCGAAAAGGTTCGCCATCACTTGCACTAGGTAAATTTAATGCTTTTCTAGTTCCTGCCAATTTAAGCCCCTTCCTTTAAAGACGCTGTCAGTCCAGTACAGAGGAAGGGCCGATACCTTCATCCTATCAGCGTTTCTTCTGCCAACCAGGATCCCACGGCCATTTCAAGGGATTATTTAGATCAGCAATGCAGGGAGAGCAAGTGGAGTCCTGTAATTCTGACGGTCATCTAATTCCATGAGATTAAAGAGGTGGGTTTCCCCCCCTCCCCCCTCAGATCAAAAACTAAAATGGATGAGTCAACGCAAAGCTTTCTTTTGGGCGGAATAATGTGAGACAGCAACAGATTGAAAAACTGGGCATCTCGGTTATCCGGCTCTCCAAAGGTGGAATCAGGAAGTTGGCAGAGATCAGATATAGTTTCACCCTGGATGAAGCTGCGGTTTTTTTTTTCTAATCTTGTTAAATTAGAAAACGCCTTCCTTTGCCACTGCTTAGAAATATTGTATTTTCTCTCTGCTGCCGTGTTCTCTTTCTGACAATATGGGGGAGACACTCGGCCTTTGAATTGGGAGGGGTGGGGACTTGAAAAAGATTTCTTGAACTCCCAGGTCACACACACACACACACACACGACTTCCCGAATTGTACGGTCATTCCAAAAAAGGGGGTTGTATGGACCTCGAGGGCCGGGAACTGCCACCCTGCCACCTATTTTTTTATGATGCTACAAGCGTCTCACTCATATTGCTCTTCCTTTTCCAGCATGCAGAAGAGACCCCGCACCCCAAAAATTACAAACACAGACACACACAGACACACACAGAAGTTCCCGAATTGTATGGTTGTTCCAAAAAAGGGGCTTGAAAGGACACCCTGTCACCTACTTTTTTATGACGCTACGAGTGTCTCACCCATGCTGCTCTTCCTTTTCCAGCATGCAGAAGAGACCCCGCACCCCAAAAGCTACACACACACACACACACACTCTCTCTCTCTCTCCAACCAGCCCCCCAAGGCAATATAGTTCAGGCTCTGCAGCGAAGCCCTTTTTAGAGGGTTGTATAAAACGACCTAAGGTGAAACTTCTAACCCGAATATCGTTTGCAAGGTCCCCCATACCGAACTAGCATCCTCCCCCGCCATGGTTTGCCCCGTAGACTGGAGTCCAAGCACGAGCCGAGCTGGATTATTTCAACAGGGAACGGAAGGCCGTCCTCCCGTTTCCGGCTTCTTCTCAACTGGAAGGACTGTGCAAAGCAGGGGAGGAAGGCGAGAACTTCGAAAGAGGGGAGGGGGCTTTCTTGTTTTCAGGAGTTGCTCAAACCTGCTAAACGTCGGGCTGGCTTGATCTGCCGAGTTCTTTGGAGGCCACCTTCCTTCGCCCACACACCCCGCCATTTCTACTCCATCCCTGAGCTCTGCCCTCTTATTATCACCTTTCCACCAGGCGCCTGGAAAGCCTCTGCCCGTCTTCCGCTTTGCGCCTTCTCTCGCCGACGGCGCCCACGTTCCCCTTCCTTGTCACCCGGGGAGCTTCCTCCTGCAGCGGAGAGGCACTAAAATGGATAAGGTCCTTGATTTCGATGGTCTCCGCCAAGGCAGGGAGAGTCCTGCATTTCACGTTGGGACGGATGAGCTTGCGGCATTCCCTCTGGATCTCGCTGAAGGCCTCCAGCCCTCCGCGGTGGTTGGTTTCGAGGAATGGCGCCTCCTCGTCCAGGAAGGCGCTGTCGGAGAACCGCTTCCTCTTCTTCTTCCTCTTCCTGCTGAGCTCTCTCTCCTCTTCGCTGGACGGCCATTGGATTTGGGGCTCTTCGTACCAGAGCTTGCCGCCGGATCTCTTCAACCGTGTCTTAGGCTTCATTCCAGGGGAGCCGCAGCATTCCACGCCAGAGCAGAAGCTGCGCGTGCTACGTCTCTCCTCTTGGTCCTCACCGTCCACGTTCCGGACGCGGATCAAGAGTTCTTTGGCCTTCTGCTGGTGGGGAGGCCACATCTGGTAGCTGCCTTGGTAGCCTCCGTTCCTTTGCTCCGACGGGTTCCGGGGCTCGTTAAGCGCCTCACTGAAATACTCCGAATCGCTGCTGATCTCCTCCAGCAAGTCTTTCAGTTTATACATAGTGGGAGAGGACAACGCCACCAGTTCAGCGCTTTGTTCTTGGGGCATTTTCTGGTGAGCGGTATCGTTGCTTCCTGGCAGGGGACTACGCGAGCTGTCCGGCGGGGAGCCGACGCTCTCCTCCTCTTCCTCCGGGGAATCGTCCCATTCTCCTGGGTAACCTCCGCTAAACTCTCGGGGACCCGCTTGGCCTTCTGCAGGCTCAGACCTTCCGTCGATAATTTCCCAGGGGTCACCTTCATCGTCCTCTCGAGGCTCATATTCAGGGAGATCCGACCCTAAACTCTCTTCCGTCCAACAGTCTTCGTCTCTGTTCTTCAGTTTGACCCGGAAGCCGTCCCCAGAACACGACACCACCCTGTTCCACCAAGAGGCGTCCGATGGGCTTTGCGGGCTGGTGCAGATCCGTGCATAGCGGGGCGTTTGGTAGTAGTTCAGTAAATAATGTATGAATTCCTCCGTTTCGTAAACCTTTCGCTTCTTTGCCTGAGCTGCCTCGGGAGCCTCTGCAAAGGACCCCAAGTGAGGTCTCAGGTAATCCCACCTGTCGGGGGACGACTCGATCGCTTGGCAGTCCTGAGTGACCGTCACTTGCAGGAAGCCAGCGGCGGGAAAGGGGTGGGCATCGTTCTCCGTTAGGTGGCTGGTGACGGCCCTGGAAGCGGGTTCGTTCGGAAGCGCTCTCCCCAAGGAAGGAGGGGAGGGAGGGAACTCTTCAGCCAGGAATGGTGCGTCTTTCTCTTCGTCGATCGCGACGTTTTCCAGCAGGGCAGAGGGACAGGTAGGTTGCGTCTCATCCTCCACTTCTGGATGTTCAAGGTGAGGCGCATCCATCTCTTCCTTGTGTGCGTCCTCTACGTGTGGGGTGGAGAAAGTCTTCTCCTGTTCGGGTTGAGACTCCGGAAAATGGGCCTCGGTTTGCCCAGAGGACAGCACAAAATTCTTGAAGAGAAACAGAAAGACAAACGGAATTACTGCACAACAAAGCAAAAGAAAATCCTAGCCCAGTCTAACAACGAAGATCTCGCATGCAATTTGCGTTTCGTCCACCTTGGTTAGATGGAGAACATCTACATCGTCTCATCTCTGGGTACTAGTAAAAATTGGATCAATTTCACTGGCTCTCAACCCAAGGAAATGGGGTGAAATTGTATTGTTTTAAACTAGACAACTTGAGACTCGTTAGATCATTGTGTCAGCTCTGAGATTCAGCTGCCAAGTATGAAAAGGGGGATGGAGGAGTTGGAAAGTTCAAGGTTATTTCGTATGTCACATTAAGAAATTCCAGCTGCAGTTAATTGGTTCTCGTGATTAACGAAGTGTCGAAGTGGGAGGAGAGAAGGTGGATTTTGTGCAAGGGCACGAAAATGACTTTCACTTTTGGAAATGCCTTACAAGTGCCAGAGCTGTTCCTAATAAATCAGTTGGAGATTATATTGTCTTGGAGTGTCTGATTACCATGGATAATTTCTGGATGCCTAACACATTGTTTCAGAGATATCTTCGATAATGGTAGAGGTTCTAATCTACCTGGTAAGTTCTTTTAAAAAATTCCGGGAGATGCTCAGAGGAGTATCTGCCTTGAAGGTAGCCCTTGTTGAACCGTAGAGCACAATTCAACACATCAGGAGGTGACCACATGAAATGCTTTATGACAGTGATGGTGAACCTTTTTGTTGTGGTGTGCATTGCACCCACAATACAATGTGCCCTGCTCCCCCTGCGCATGTGCACACAACACCCCCGGCCCGCTCCTTATCTGCACTGCGCATGCGCGCGCCTCCCAACTTTTTCAGCCCGTTTGAGGCTGTTTTTGCCCTCCCGGAGGTTTGAGGGAAGCCTCTGCAGCCTCGGGAGGCCAAAAAAACGGGCCCGTTTCAGCATTTCCAGTATTTCCAGAAGGCCCATTTTTCGCGTGCCATAGGTTCGCCCTCAGGGCTTTATGATATTCTTATTGTGGTCATCAAATGCACTACGATAATGTTGATGTCGTAAAACGTTTTGTAAAATTTGCCAAATTCCAGTTCCACGGGATTCATGGTTTTGCCTCTTGTTTCGCCCAGCTAAAGGTTACAAACATGAGAGTTTTAATAGTATTTTGATAATGTCCTAATACAACTCTTCTTCCTTCACCCTCTTTTGAGTGGAAAAGATACAATGCAATCTCTCTCTCTCTCTCTCTCTCCAATACTTTTAACAAAATCCAAATTACTCTGTTTGAGGAAACACATTCTTAGATTGATTTCATCGTCTTCTTTTAATGACCCCGTCACCCTTTGCGGGGTGGAGTCTGGGCAACTGAATGGAGCAGAGTGTTTACTGGCTGGATGCCCTTCCTGTTGCCAGTGTGGAGTTGCATTCAGCAGATATATTCTCATGGTGCCCAGAGAGAGAAATATCTGCCTCTGCCTAGGATCAAACTCACAGCCTCCTGAGACGGGAGCTGCAACCTTTAGGCCACCGCACCGCTCTTCTTAGATTGTTTGATTGGATTGGATTTCTGTAGCCAGCCAATTCAACCTTGTGACCCTGGGCAGCTAAGATTATAAATCAATTAAAGCATTTTGAAGAAACAATTGGAGCATATTTAATGGATACGTAGATCAAACCATGTTTTAAGGCTCAATCGCTTAAAATTCATGAGCCTAAAACTTCTGATCTCCCCCCCAGAAAAGAACGGGGAAAGACCAATAAACCCTTTGGAATATACGTTTACAAATATTCTTACTTTTATTTGGCTTAGCAGCGCTGTCAGGAGCCTGATGGACTCCACCCTTCTCTGGGCCAGGAGGTATTTCCTCTCCTCCCATTCAGGCAGGTCTGGGGAATTCAGTCTTTCTGCAGCTGTTGATTTCAGATGCTTCCTGGGGCGTTTCTCCTCTCGTTTTTTTTCTCGCCTTTTGATCTTAAACCTCCTCCTTCCTTCTCCGCTTTTCTTGTCCTCGTCATCCCGTCTTTTTCTAGGCGATAAGGACAACCGCTCAGAGGGATATACCTATCTGCGCGCACTTTGCAGGTCGTTAAAAAAAAAGAGTAAAACGAGCCCCCCCGTTGTGAAATCTAATTGCTACCGACATAAAAAAAAAAAAAGAAAAAAACGCCTTGCAGATTTCCAAGGAGATATAACACAAGCTGGAGAGAAATTTGAGCTGCTCCGTAGACAGCTGTGACACTCCTACCAGATTCAGATATTAGCAGATGTACACCAAGGCCATGCTGACGCTCCCAATTAAAGCTTTAATCCTTTCCAAGGACGTTTGAAATTTACCTCCTGTGTGGGATTCTTTAAAAAAAAAAAAAAGTATCAGCTGTACATAGAGTCCTATCTCTCCAACTCAGAGGTCACGCTGCTCCTTTTTCTGTTATCTTAACTATTTCTAATCTTAACTTCTCGCCTCCAGGATGACTCCCTCACCCAAAGAACTGTAATTTTAAGGGCAACTGGCCTTGTAAACAGCTGAACTTTTTAAAGAGGAACGCAACGCTTGGTGTCACAACTCCCATATGCTTTGACTGGCAGGAAGAATCTGAGGGACGTCCTTGGAAACGTCTGCAGTAGAAGCCCTGAGGTTGCTTATCTTGTTTTTAGGGGAACAACAGGGTGCAAACAAAGCTCAGAAGGCAGCAGGGTCTAATCAGTGACAGAAAAAGAAGTCATTGGCCATCACAAATGGAGCAGGGATTTTTTTCCAAAAAGAAATCCGTGTGTTCGAAAGAAATTCCTGGCTGCCTCTGGGTGTGATTCCTAGTCTCTTGTCTCTTTTAAGCAGTGGGGGCAGATGTTCCTTCTACATCAAGGGTCTTCAAACTGGGCAAGTTTAAGACAAGTTGTGGCAATTGGTGGACTTCAAACTCCCAGAATCCCTGAGCTAACATGACTGGAGCAAGAATTCTGGGAGTTGGAAGTCCACAAGTCTTAAAGCTGTCAAGTTTGAAGAGCCCTGTTCTACATCTAGGGCAAGAGTCTTCAAACTTGGCAAGTTTAAGGCTTGTGGACTTCAAACTCCAAGAATCCCTGAGCTAACATGACTGGAGGAGGAATTCTGGGAGTTGGAAGTCCACAAGTCTTAAATCTGTCAAATTTGAAGACCCCTGGTCTACATCTACAGCATGGAGAAGGGTTGGGTTATTCTGGCCCTCCCACCACCACCTCTCAAATCTGTGGTTTCCCATTGCTTTTCTGAACTTCCCTCGCTTCCTTGTGATTCAGTGATACAGCAGACTAATACACATAGTCCTTGACTTATGGCCACAGTTGTAACTCGTGACAGTCCTTCATTGGGTCATCTAGCAGACTTGAGAAAACAGCATGTCTGTGGCTAAGTAAAGCGGTCTTTAAATGAGTTATGCCACAGTGGTGAAGCAAATACAACGTATTGATGTATTTATTTTTTTATTTATTCTCATGTTTCTTAATCAACTCTCGCCCTATAGCAGAGGTCTCCAAACTTGGCAATTTTAAGACTTGTGGATTTCAACTCCTAAAATTCTGGGTGTTGTTTTAAAGTCACCAAGTTTGGGCATCCCTGCCCTATAGTCTCGTTGTGTTGTTTTTTCCTATTTATTATTTTACTTCTGTTCTGTTTTACACTCCTTTTCTTCTTTTGAATTATTGTAAGGCGCTTAAGAGGGGCCCCACAGAGAGACAAGCGGCCGATAAATTTAACAAGTAATAATAATAGTTATTATTTTCTCAGCTTGGGAGACGCTGTTTAAATCTGTTATAATTTTGTACAAAGCGGTAAACGCTAAGCAATCACACGATCTGATTCAGCCCCAAGGAATAAAAGGCCTGCGTTGGATAATACTACAATGGCTGACTGGTTGGAAGGATGGGAACAGAAAACCCTGTAAGCACTGCATTTGTCGAGAGAGTTGCAAAGCTATTTTGGTCTGTAACATAACAACTTTTGTTCCAAACCCAACGGAGTGGGCGGAACCCTCCCTGCAGAATTAAAAAAAAAAATCAGCTAACAGAGCTCAGGTGTACTTATGTCTACAGGAACCCACTGGGAGAAGCACAGCAGACTGAGAAAACAACAGTATTATAAAATTACAAGCAGATATAACAGTCCACCCTGGATTTTAACAGATTAGAAGAGTTGGAAGGGACCTTGTAGGTCATCAGTCCAACCCGCCACCCAAGCATTTCTGACAAATGGCTATCCACTCTTGAAAGCCTCCAGTGATGAAGCTCCCACAAGTGCCTTAAGAGAATGGCAGCAACTGAGAAAGTGAACTATAAGTGAAACCAGCGATTATACCTATAATGTTGGGTTGCAACCTATTTGAAACTAGCTCTCAAATTATTACAGACTTTGAAATCTGTTCATTCAGACATAAGTCACAGGTCTAGGTACTCAACCCAGAATAGGAGCAGTTGACCAGCTGAGTTTACTTTTTGCCTTGACTAAGGGGATGTTTGGTTGCAACATTTGCCAGAACTTCTTAGGAAGTTAAAAAGTAGAAATAACAACAACAACAACAATTATAATGCAGTGTGCACAAGGTAACACCCTCACTCAACTTTGATCTATTTAGTCCTCTATTTAGTACAAACTCTCACGATAAATAATATAGGTGGGATGGCGTGGAAAACATTTGCTGAAATCTCAGGAGGCGAGTAAGCGTCCTGAGTAAGATTTCCAGGAATTAGCAGTCTGTTTTTAACTAACATGATGGAATTGATCCTCTGTCTCTTTGCTAGCCGACCCAAAATAAGTGATGGAAAAACAGGACGACATAGACGTACAGGCTGCCAGAATTTCTGTCGGCATAGCACGGAGGCTGTTGAAATGAGCCACATCTCATGATAACGACCCGTTGTTAAGTGAATCAAAAGGTCATTAAGTTGGCTTTCCCCGTGGACTTGGCTGGGGAGATGACAAATGGCGATCTCACGTGATCCCAGGGATGTTGCAACCCTCATTGTAAATGCATGTGGGGGCTGGGGATCAGTCACATGTTTCGGTCTCATCGAAACTTCAAACGGTCACTAAACGAATAATTATAAGTCGAGGAGTGACCTGCATCTTCTTAGTCTAAGGAGACCACGATGCCCCACCCAAAAATATATATATATCAATGCTCTTGGTCCACAGTTTGAAATGCAGGGAGGCCCAATGTGATTTGGGCCTTGTTGACCTGTAACCTGCTCGCTTCGGATTTCCACACATGCGTGTCTTAACTTAAAGAACGCTGAACGCGAACGATTGGATAACGAAAGGGAATGATTTGAGATCCTCACCTTTCTGTCCCTTTTCTTCCTCTGTTCTCCTCTCTCTTTCTCTCTCGCTCTAGGCCTTGGAGGGTTAACCTTTCTAAGGTTCTCTGTTTTATAGCATTCTCACTGAAATGATTAGTGGCGTCAGGCGTCACCTGTTTCGAAACAGCAACAAGAAAGTGCATGGCTAGTTCAAACAGACCACTAATATTTCTTCGATTTTTGCTCGGCTTTCCATCCCAATTATTCATTTATTTTATTTTTTGTATGCATGTATGTATATATGTATGCATGTATGGGATGCAGGGGCTCAGTGGCTAAGACGCTGAGCTTGTCGATCAGAAAGGTCGGCGGTTCGGCGGTTCGAATCCCTAGCACTACGTAACGGAGTGAGCTCCTGTTCCTTGTCCCAACTTCTGCCAATCTAGCAGTTTGAAAGCATGTAAATAAAATGCAAGTAGAAAAATAGGTAGCACTTTGGTGGGAAGGGAGCAGCGTTCCGTGCGCCTTCGAAGGCGTTTAGTCATGCCGGCCACATGACCACGGAGACGTCTTGGGACAGCGCTGGCTCTTCGGCTTTGTAACGGAGATGAGCAGCGCCCCCTAGAGCCGGAAACAATGAGCACTTATGTGCAAGGGGGAACCTTCACCTTTACACGTATGTGTGTATTTTAAAGAATTGGTTATTATTCCTAAGCAAAAGACTTGCGCTCTAGAACGAAATACAGAAATATGGGCGATATTGGCCCTTATAAAGCACGGGTAGTTTTTGATTTATGACCTGCCCATCAAGATGGTTCGCTCGGGGAGGTCTGAAATCTGGTCAACCCCGCGACTGACCCAAGGGCCATTTTTGAAGCGGGTGTTAAGCGGACACCAAAGGCGTTCAAGCAAACCCCTGCTTTGCTACGGGCGCCGTTTTGGCGAAGATCTGGAAGTAAATCCTAGCTTTTGGCAAAACAGGCGTAAAACACGACTGTGAGGGAGCACAATACCACAGCATCAATGCAGCACAGACGATGAACCCTTGAAATGTGGTCACGTGACCACGGGAGAACTCCCGACCGTTGGAACTTCAAGCCCAATCGTAAGCACTGTTTCTCTCCTGGGAGGTCTGTTGTAACTTCGAACGGTCGCTGAGCAACCGATCGTAACTCGAGGATTGCCTATTCATTCAAGGAAAGCAGCACCAATCGTTGTCAGAAGCACATTCTGGACGGCTGCTGATGCGCCTCATAATTGCAGCCAAAGGTACAGGTCGTCCTCAACTTACAACCACAGCGGAGGCCCCAATTTCTTTTGCTAAGGGACACATGGGTTATGTGAGTTTCGCCCCGTTTGATCAACTTTCTTAAGCGAATCACCGGGCTTGCTCAATTAGTCACATGGTTGTTAAGTGAACCTGGATTCCCCCCGTCAATTTTGAGACCGTCATAAATATGAGTCGGGGGCCCGAGCAGTCGGAATTCTGATCACGTGACCACGGGGAGGCCGCAACAGTGTGAAACCTGGTCGTAACTTCCCCCTTTTTTTTTTCCAACGGCATTCACTTTGGAACGGTCACTAAACGAATCGCTGCAAGTCGAGAACTACCTGCCATGTGTAAGCATGACAGGAAGGTGACGGTGGCCTTGCAAAAACTGGTTTATGGGGGCGTGGAGTTTTATTTGGGGGGGTGGGGGATGGAAAAGCACCACGTCGGAAAGGAAACAAGAGCTGGTGAGCGTTTACCAATTCCAGACTCGGACCATCGCTATTTCTGGCCTAGTTTGGAGTTTCTTTTCTTTTCGTTTTGCAATCCTGGCTTTGAGACAGAGGTGGTCTTCAGCCGGTCTGGACCAGTTCTGGAGAACCCATATCAGAAATTTTGAGTAGTTCAGAAAACCGGCGAATCCCACCTCTGACTGGCCCCGCCCCCATCTATTCTCCGCCTCCCATTGAGTCCCAGCTGATCGGCTGGGTCTTCGTTGGTTGCCCTGCACAGGAGAACAGAGCTGGAAAGCAGGTTAGTGGGGTGGGGAGGGAAGGGGGATTTTGCAGTATCCTTCCCCTGCCACACCCACCAAGCAGAGGTGGGATTCAGCAGGTTCTGGCCAGTTCTGGAGAACTGGTAGTTGAAATTTTGAGTAGTTTGGAGAACCGGCAAATCCCACCTCTGACTGGCCCCGCCCCCTTCTATTCTCCGCCTCCCGAGTCCCAGCTGATTGGCTGAGTCTTGTTTGGTTGCCCTGCACAGGAGAACGGAGCTGGAAAGCAGGTTAGTGGGGTGGGGAGGGAATGGGGATTTTGCAGTAACCTTCCCCCTGGAGTGGGATGGAAATAGGGATATTACAGTATCCTTCCCCTGCCGTGCCCACCAAGCCACGCCCACCAAGCCACGCCCACCAAGCCACACCACACCCTCCAAGCCACGCCCACCGAACCAGCACTCAACAATTTTCAATCCCACCGCTGCTTCGAGACCGTGGCCCCGCGGAGTGTGCGACGCCTCACCTTGATGTTGCACGCCAGGGCTTTGCCGTCATCGCCCTTGAGCATCAGCTTCATGCCCTTCAGGGTCTCCATGGCTCTGGCGAACGATTCGGGAGCCTGGTACTGGACGAAGGCCTCGAAGGACCTCATCCCACGGAAAGCAAAGTGGTTCCTGCTTCTGCCCACCGTTTCTTCCCGGTAGGGATCCAGCATGGGGATGTCGACGTTCCGGATCTCCCCGAAAGGGCCAAAGACCGTCCTCAAGACCTCCTCGCTGGGGGTCTCGCTGTCTGAACCTTTGGGGGCAAACCACTTGCAGGGCAGGCCTTCCAAGTGGATGCAGTCCGGAACTGCCTGGCTTTGCTCCTCCTCCGGCTGCTTTGGGGCCTTGGGTTGGGGCTCAGGTTCCTGAGTCGTTGGGCTGTCGGGAGGGGCTTCCGTAGCGACCACCTCCAGCTCTTCCTTAAACCCGTTCAGCTTGATCCGCTGGCCGTGGAGCTTCTCCTTCAGGAGGGAGACCAAGCGCTTGGTTTCGGCTTCCCCTTCGAACCGGACGAAGGTCTTGGTGCTCTTCGACACCTTCACGTTGCTGAACTGGTCCGGGGAGATCATGTTCTTCAGCTTGTCCATCACTTCCCACTTGGAGAAAGCCCGGGTCGATCCGGTGTGTTCCGGAAGCACCACGCTGATGGTCAGTTTCGCCACCGGCTTCAGGTAAAGCTGCTGGGAGGCGCACAGCTCCGTGGCCTCGGAGGGATCGCAGACGAGGGTGACCGTCATGGCGTCCGAATATCCTTCGGGAAAAACAATTCAAAGGCAACTTACGTGCGCCAAACGACACTCTTTCAACTTCTGGTCAAAGGGGCTTTAGGCCCGTCTACCCTTCAAGCCCAGAGGTGCTTTTTCAAGAGGCGACCGTACTTTCTGGTTTGTTTGTTCTTTTTTTTTTTCCGTTGAAGAGGTTTCGCTTCTCATCCCAGAAGCTTCTTCAGTTCTAGAAGAAGCTTCTTGGATGAGAAGCGAAACCTCTTCAAAGGGAAGGGAAAAAAAACCCAGAAAGTCCAGTTGCCTCTTGAAAAAGCCCCTTTGGAACAACCACAATTTGGATGACTGAGAATCTCCCTAGACAACTACCCTTCAAACCATCTGCCATCAGCCTGGTTCTGAATAGGCCATAGCCGGTAGTGAGCTGTGGCCCAGGAGTTGGAGATCCTTGATTTAAGGAATTATAAACAGACTTATATCTGAAAAGGTTTGTTCTGATGGAGGAGAATATTTGTAGCTCAGAGTTGAAAGGGGAGATCCTTGGGGGCTCTCTGGCCTTGGTTGTCTCCTTGCAAATGCTTCATCACCAAGCTAGGTCACATCATCCCTGCTAGTACTTTAGTCCAGCACTGATGACGTTACCTAGTTTGATAATGAAACATCTGCAAGACAAGAGAACACCAAGCACCTCACTGAGTTTGTTGTGGTAGCCTAATTAGTTTTTATAAATTGTTGTTCAAGTGACCTCATTACAGTGGGATTTAATCCAATTTAAATTTGCATCTTTGTTCATTGCAATATCATGGTATCTATTTGTTTAAAACTCAGTGCAGTCACATTGTTTTTACTGTATTATAACAAGCAGAACTAATACGATCTTTAACTGAATTGGATACGAGAAGGACTTAAAATTATCAATCTAAAAATAAACCTTCAGCGAAAAAAGTGTCTACGGAAATTAAAAACAAGAGTCATTTGAATTGTTCTTCAGGAAGAAATAGACCATTCAAAATATCAAGAAAAAAAGAATGCCAATCAGGATCTGATCTGACAGATTCTAAGCTGTAGAATAAAAGAAGACACACATATTTAGACATATTTAGAATTCTGTTTACTTAGAAATTTCATCCGCTTCTAATTATTTCACTATTAATAAAGGACAATTGGGGTTGTTTAGGATTGTTAATATTAAGACTTTTTTTTAAAAAATCTGCACCATTTAGTAATTCTAACAAGAGTACATGGGGGGGGGGGGGAAACTTTCTATAAATTGCACACTACTTCAAAGGATTAAGTAAATTGCGCACATCAAACGTTGAAATTTTTAACAATCAGATTGCCACTGATTAAGAGTGTTTATCATTAATATTAAAAAAAAAACCATTTTAACTAATTTGCAAATAGCCCAAAACCCACTTTTTCTGGATAAGCTCAATTTTATCAGGACTACAGCCTAGAGCACTAACATGCTCTTTTTTTTGCAATTTTTCCACTGTCCTCTTACCATTCTGAGACATGCAAATATATTTTCAATTTTTGACCAGTTCTAAGTGCCAAATATATCTGCTCTGACAATACCTGTTAATCTATCTTTCCTTTAACCCAGTCTAGCGCAATCTATTCTGCCAAGCCCATGCAATAATTAAACCATTACAAACCTTGAGTATGCCCTTTAAGAAGCGATTAATAGGTGCTGGAAATTCCAGTTACTTCTTTGATCTTGGCGACAATTTTGGGCTCTTGGGAACACATGGTTCCTGCTCTCTGCCAGTCTGCCAGTTTTGTCTTCAGGCTCTGCATGATAAATGGGAGTATTTTGGTTTGTACACTCAGAACCGTCTACCAAATGTTAAAAGTTATGAAGATGTTCCTTTGTTTTCCACACAAAACCGTTCGCAACCTTGCCATGGCGCGAATGTGCAGAGGAAGGTTGCTAGCGAATTCTACCAACCTCTCTTCTGAGATTTTTAGACCCCAATTGCAGAACTCAAGGGAGGCTGAACAATCAAATACACCCAGAGGCAAAAAGCATCACCTGTGCCCATCCTTTACAAAACATCTCCATCACACCTGTACAGCCACAAAATGTGCTGCCGATAGAGAACAACAAAGCCAACTTTCTTTCCGATAAACATCCTTTTAAAATAAACACACCCACAAACCCAGAGTCAGCAATACAAAACTTCCCTGCAACGTGAGGAGCGGCATTGAAATGGCTTAAATGAGTAAAACCAGCCCATTTTGAACACGGCAGACAAACAGGTCTGCAACTTGTACACAACCAACTTCTGGGGAAAACAGGTTTCTAGTAGAACATCTGAAAATTCTGCTGTGTAGTGCAGTGTTGGTATGGTGTTGGGGGTTTCCAGTTCAATGTGTGAAGAATGAAGGATGTGTGTTTGTGTTTATTTTCATGGTCATGGTCATGATGTACACTGAAGATGGTGTTTGATTTCGTTGTACGCGATGCAATGACAATAAACTAAACTAAACTAAAACACCTAATTTAATCTGAAATTATTTCTGGGTTAGTTGCAATGTATAAACAGGTCTTACGGCTTTGAAAGTATATTCTTAATCTATTCTGAAATTATGTATTCTTCGTAACCACAGAAATTTTAGCAAGCAAACCAAATGGAAAATTTCCTTTGCGTTAAGGGGCCTTTGCTACTCCGAGCTGAATTCAGATTCATAATGGTCTTTCTGAAGCCCCATTTGCCTATATCTATATTTATTTGTATATTTAGAAACCGCCCACCTCCCTAGTAGAATGTCTCTGGTGCAATTGCTCTTTTTTGTTTCCAGGCAAATGATGGGGTGAGTTTTCTGGAAAATGGCTAAAATTACACTTTGCCTTATTTTTCCTTACTTGGTAAAGTTATTTCTAGTTCCTTGTTTGTGTGAAATCTGTATCGTGCTGAGCTCAAAAGTGAGCTCACATACTGACCTCATAATCATCTAGGTCTCCGTTCCTTATTTGTATATAGTATTTTTATTCTTAATTTTAAAGATAGCATTACATGAGTCTATTCTTTTTAATGTCCGAGATCTTTTTCCAAGCTGTGTTGCTATTCTATGGATCAGTCGATTAATCAAGAGGCCTGGCTCCACATAATACCTTGAACCCCAAATTAACCCAGCAGATAAACCCCATCTGAACCCAGATAAAAGTTTAAGTGGGGAGGGAAAAAAAGGAACAGTAAAAGCAAACTAACCTCAATATCTTTTTATTTGCTTCAATTTCTGGTCATTTCCTCCACAGGTCATGTGAAATGGGAATCCATAACTTGCTGAATTTTGGTTCTTGACCGGCTAGAAAATGCAGAAAACTCATTAAATTAGAACAATTTAGAGCCATAAATTGCTCGTTCCTCACTGTGCAAACCCAGGGATACCCAACTCAATTCTAAAAGATACAGGTAATACAACCATAGTAGGGAACAAAATTTCCATTGCTAAGAAATGGAGTTGCACCCAATTCCAACCATTCATGCCAATGGTTGTTATGGCAATCACTGCAGTCGTTAAGTGAATCAGGCTGCTGGTAAGTGAATCCTGCTTCCTCAAGTGATTTTACTTGTCCGCAGTTATTTCTCTCTCTGGGCACAATCAGAATATATCTGCTGAACAAAACTCCGCCCTGGTGACAGGAAGGGCATCCGTCCAGTAAGCACTCAGTTCTATTCAGTGGCCTAGACTCCACCCCCCCCAAGGGATTATGGGGTAGTTAAAAAAAAAAGCTGATGATGAAGCTGGTTGGGAAGGCCACAGATGGTGGTCCCATGATCCAGGACCGTTATGCAACCATCATAAATATGTGTGGATTGCCAAATGCCTGAATTTTGATCACGTGACCGTAGGGGATACTGTAATGGTCGTAAGTGTGAGGACTGGTCCAAAGTCTTTTTTTTTTTTCAGCGTTGTAACTTTGAATGGTCTCTAAGAGACTACCTATACATACAGATAATCCACGTCTTAACAGTTCATTCCAAGTTAGGACGTCACTGAAAAAAATGGATTTATGACCATTTTTCACAGTTACAATCAGGACCCCGTGATGAAAATCCAGATGCTTGGCACCCGGTTCATCCTTATGACCGCTACTGTGTCCCCAGAGTCACGTGATTCCCTTTTGCGACCAAGTCTAGGGGGAAGCCGGATTCACATAACAACCAGGTTGCTAACTTAAGAACTGAAGTGATTCACTTAGCAACTGTGGCGAGAAAGGTCGTAAAATTTGGCCAAACTCACTTCACAAATGTTTCACTTAACATCAGACATTTTGGGCTCAATTGTTGTCGTAAGTCGAGGACTAGCCATATTACACCAACCCCACCACTATAGCCCAATCCACGGCACAGGGGCAGTGTATCCCGCCTTTCCATCTCCTCAAATCAAATTAAATCTTTATTACGGTCATAGAGCTGCATGCCAATGCAACGCTACAAATGCCCCCATAACCCATCATCCCCTTCCGTAAGGCAGGCTCCTTCTTCCCACAAGTCTGTGTTTTGCAAAGAGCTCCCAGCTTCCCCCTATAAGGCCTCCCCTTCCAGATATGTGGGACTACAACACCCATCTTCATGCAGGCTAAAGAGGATGAGGGATTGGATTGGCTTCCTATCTTTGATTCCTGTCCCATCCGGGCATTTGGGACCCAGGGCTCAGGCAAATGGGAGTTGTAGTTCCAGACACTTCTAGAGGCACTGGGCCCACGGACGATAGGAAAGTGGGAACTGGCATGACAATCCCCGTCTAAATATTGTCCCACCACTCCCAGTGCTCAGGAAAATGGGAACTGGAGTCCCAGACAATTGCACCCCAGTACCTGTAGGAGACAGGTACGTGGGAACCAAATGCACAGCACTTAGTGAGACAGGCAGATGGGAACTGGAGTCCCAGACACAACCCAACGTACACACACTCACCCCAATGCCTGCAGATAACAGGCAGATGGGAACTGGAGTACTTTCAGATATTCAGCACCTCAGAAGCTAGCAGATGGGAGCTGGAGTCCCAGCAAAGTCAGGCGGATGGAAGCTGGAGTCTCAGGCAGGCAGGTGGATGGGACCTGGAGTCCCAGGCAAACAAATAGCTGGGACCTGGTGTCTCAGGCAGGCCAGGCAGATGGGACCTGGAGTCCCAGGCAAGCCAAGTAGCTGGGACCAGGCCAGGCGGGTGGGACCTGGAGTCCCAAGCCACCTGGGTGGATGGGAGATGGAGTCCCAAGTCAACCTAGCAGCTGAGACCTGGAGTCTGAGGAAAGCCAGGCGTATGGGAGCTGGAATCCCAGGCAAGCCGGGCAGACGGGACCTGGAGTCCCTCCCCTCAGCGCCCTCAGCGCGGCCAGGCCCGGAGGACCCCGCCACCACCCGCCGCCGCCGCCCCTCGGCCTCTCCTCCCGCGCCGCGGCCTACCGGGCCTGCCTCACCGCCGCTCCCGCTGCCGCCGCCGCCGCCGCCGCTTCCTGGCCCGGCCTCCCCGGGGCGGAGCCGCCGCGCCCCCTCGCCCCCCGCCCCAGATGGCGGCCCTGCCCGCCCGCCCGGACGGACCTCGGCCTGGGCCCTCCCCGGAGCCCCCAAACCGGAGGGTCTCCGCTGCCTCCACCGGCCCGGGGAAGGGGTTGCCCCGCTCCGGACGACCAAGTCGATCCGCTCCCTTCCTCCTCCCCCCCCCCGCCCACCGCCGCCCTGGGGGGGGGCGCCCCCCCCCGGGGGTTGGTTCCCCCCCCCCGCCTCTCCCCCCCTCCCCCTGGGGGGGTGGATTTGAACCCGGGGCCAAGGCAGAAGGGGCAGGACTGGTCCCTTCTTTGGACCCCTGGCAAAGGGGGCCAGGGCGTCCCCCAACAACAAGCACCCCATCAAGGGACCAGTGACAACCCCCCCCACCAAAGCTCACCCCTTGCTGGAGGGAAGACCCCCCCCCTCCCCCCCCCCCCCCCCGCCCGGCCGGCCCCCGCAC